TCCAATTTTTGTGAGGTTGCATGCATGAACTGGATCTAGTTAGGCAGGCTCTGATCACCAGATCTGGTGGGTTAAAATGTGATGGGCCAGTTATGGCTTCATATAGTCAAAAGCCCACAGAATATGTATGAATTTTATCCGAATTTTTAAATGTATGGTTCTTTATTATTTTAATGTTTTATGTGGTATTTTAATTGCATGACTGTAAGCCACCTAGATGGGTAGCCTAGAAATCTAAAAACATTTTTTTTTAAAATTATAAACTTTATTTAGTCCTATGTTTTTAAAGTGAGCTAGGAAATTTAAGACATTTCCCCACTGCTGGTTTAAGATACAAACCTTTTTTTTTAGGAACAAAACTGCATAAAATGCTATCTTCCTTGTCAACACTATGCTTCTTTTTTGGTGCCTGCTCTATTCCAAGTCACAGGCAAAATGCTGCTGCTGTAGTTCTGGTGGTCTATGACTGTGTGGGCTGTTGTCCAGGCAAAGCGATCGGGTTCCTCCCCTCAATTTTTAGGACATGCCCATCCAGGGAGGAAAACATCCACCATTTGGGGGAACAGGGGAGATGCTGTTTGCATCAGCAATTGGGAATATCTCATTTTAGGATTCTGCTTCCTTTTTTTTAAAGTTTGTTTTCCCCACCTCTTTCCCCTCACCAGTTTGGTCATTTCTCATGGTAATGTATAATAAAGAAACATGGAGGAAGGCACTGGGACAGAATGAGCAACTAGCTGGGTAGATCCCTTAAAGCAGGAGAAATGAGACTGATTAGCTGTTAAACCTCTACTGTGAACTAAAAGTGATTGAAACTGACCCGTACAGGGAAATTTACAAATTGGAGCAATACTCTAATTCACTCTCCACCCACTTATTTTCTGGATATTGATATGAGGAGAAGCATAGCTAAGACATATAAAGATGAAGATGGATTGCTGAAAGCTACTGAATTGGAATAGTGTATGAACAAGTCTCCAGTTCTTCAAATGGTGATGTGGCAATTTCAGAATATTGTTTGAGAATAACCTTCCCCCCCCCCCCCCCCCAAAAAACAACCCCAAAACAGACAAACCCTCTTCTCTTTCTCCAAATAAACTGGAGGATCTCTGCTGCCTTCTAGTGCTGGTTACAATCCAAGATCAAAGTTTGGGAAGCCAGGAAAATAACTGGCACAGAAAGAACTTGGAGCAGTGTGTAGTCAGAGAAGACCACTGAACCACATCTCAACCCATGATAATGAGTTGCCATCACTACAGATTTTACAGATTCTGAAACTCTGGAGTGAAAGGTCAGTTTAAAGGGAAAAAGATGGTTTTAAAATTAATAATTGAGATTGTTTCTCTCATAGATTGAGATAAAAAAAACTTGTGGTCAGGGAGAAAAGATTGGCATTGCCAGAGCATGATGGCATTATGGTGACATACAAGTCAAGGTCGGGGACTTAATATAGTTGCATATTATTGTCTCCAGAAAATCAAGTCAGGTGAAGTATAAATAGTAAAATAACAGTAAAAGAGCCAATTTGGTCTAGTGATTAAGGCAACCAGGCTAGAAACCAGGAGGCTTTGAGTTCTAGTTCTGTCTTAGGCATGAAAGCTGGCTGAAAACTTTGGGCCAGTCATTCGGTCTCATCCCAACCTCCCTCACAGGGTTGTTGTTAGCAAAATAGGAAGGAGGAGGATTAGGTATGTTCGCCGCCTTTTGTTATTAAAAAAATAATAAAGGTGGGATATAAATAAATAAAAATAAAATAGGCATTTTAAAAAAGCAATATTACAGTGGTAGCAGACCTTCAAGGATTCTCCCTAACTGAGCAATTGGACCTGGTTAGAACTTGAATGGGAGGCTGCTAGAAAATACCAGGTGTGTTAGTTGGACTGGGCAATCAAGAAGGTTACTGGAAAAAAGCGGTGGTGAACAGATTGCCCTTTGCTGCAAAAGAAGTGACATAAATACAGGTAATCCTTGATGAAGTACGGTAATTGGGGTGGCATTTTGTGGTTGCCAAGTGATGATGTGGTTGGAAAATGTGATGTTACAATTCTGGCTGTCCCCATTATTGTCATTAAGCAACTGCCTGCCAGCCTTCAAAAAGCAAAGTCAGTGTGGAAGTTGGAAAGGATTTGCAAGTTCCTGGTGATTTGTAAGTAGGTAGGCAGGTAAATAGTTAATGATTATAGAACCCTGTAATTTTTGTGTGAGTTGGTTGCCAAGCAACAGATTGTGACCACATGACTATGGGGGTAGTACAATGGCTAAAACTTTGGGGACCAATTTTAAATGCCATTCATGGACTAACAGATCCTTTTCATGGTCACCCAGGCTCTGGTCACTTCGAGTTTGGACTATTGTAATGCATTCTACATGGGGCTGCCCTTGAAGAGCATCTGGGAAACTTCGGTTGACTCAAAATAATACAGTGGCCCACATAATTTTGTGCAATTCCAAATGTTCACATGTTTTAACCTTTTTTACAAGAGCTGCACTGGCTTCCAATTTCCTTCTGGGGGGAACTCAAGTTGCTAGTTATAACCTTTAAAAGCCTTACATGGCTTGGGACCAGGTCATTTGACAGACTTCCTCTCCCCACTTACATGTACCTAGTTCACAAGAATAAGAAAGCAGAACAAGTCGCAGGTCCCAACTATTAAGGAAGTACATCTGGTGGGACTTAGGAGAAGAGCTTTCTCTATGGTGGCTCCCTCCCTGTGGGAATATCATTACTCAATACCTCAGAGTTAAGATTGGCCCCTATTTTGTTGCTTTTCTGCAAAGCTTAAGGACATGGGAGTCAGTCACGAGGCTTAGTTGATTCTATTATCATTGCTATAGGGTGGGGTGGGATTAAAGTGTTAATTTTTAACTCTGTATTTTTAATGAATGCTGCCTGGAGTCAACTTGTGAGTTGTGAGGCTATATAAATTTGATTAATAAATACATACCATCCATTCAGTGCTGTGATAACTTTGAACAGTTTCTGACAAATGGTCATTAACCAAGGACTACTAATTGTATATCCTCAATTCAAAGGAGATTTTCTTTTTAAAGTCATTTTAGGAAAAAAAAGTCCCATTCTTTGGATCATGCTAACCAAGTGTCATTCTTAAGATCATTCTCAAGCAGCTCAGATACAAATGTTAATAGTCTGTTCTTTTTCTATTCATTTTACTAATCTTCTGATTTCACTGGGATTCATATGTAGGATGAAATTCTCCTTCTGTATGGTAACTCTGTCTAGATTCTGGCTTTAAAGCAAGATATTTGGGTACTTTTGGAAAGGAACCTAGTGGACAAAACGGTCTCTATCCAGCTGGTTACAAAACTAGCCTGGTTTTCAGAAAGGAGATGCTAAAAATATTTTGTGCAACATGTACCATCTGTGGATGCTGGTTAATGTAGTCGAGAATGGAAAAATCATTTTTCCATTAGCAATACTATGTAGAAAAGTCATGTATGTCTTGACATACAAGGATGTTCTTTGTCTTTTTGATTTATTCCTCTGTGCATGGTAAGGAGCGACAAACCACTTTTATCCAGGAAGGAATGGGCGTTCGACTTAACATTGGCTGCCTCACCCTCTCACCCTCCATTTTACAGTTTTTGTGAGGCCACAGATGATCCACGATCTGAGAGGAAAGCATGATGCAGAAAATGGCTGCCCACCCATATTTCTTTTGGTATCAAGAGGCCGAGGGTTGTGTAGTTGCTCCAGCTACACTTGAGATAGGAATATTCTTCCAGCTGCCTTGATTATAAAAATCAGTGATATTTCAGCAAGGCTGCTGAGTGAGAAACAGGATAGGGTGCGGTGGTCAGAAAAGTCACGATGGCAGTCACAATACTGTGACTGAATCTCTGATCATATTTACGTGCATCACATGTTTGACACAAAAACTGATGGAGCTTTGTACCAATAGACAGTACCGTGACTTCTTACTCTACTTTGCAGATGCAAAGAATGGAAACTCCTGTTTCCTACTTTTTTTTTTTTTTTAACCCTTTCCATATCTGTATCTTCCATAGATAGTAAAGTGACATTCTGGCTGTTCCATTTCAATTTTTAAAAAAGGGAATTACAGGTAGTTCCTCACTTATGATGGCAACTGAGCCTGAAATTATAGTCATAAGTAATTGTGACTGTTAACCGGATCACCATGTGATTGTGACTGGATCTGTTTTTTTGACATTTTTTGCAGTGGTGGTTAAGTGAATGTAGCACTTGTTAAGTGAATCCATTATACCGAATGGGTGGATTTTTTGGCAGAAACAGGAAATAAATGCCAGAAATTGGTAAAAAATGTTAAAATAGCAGTGATGTCACTCGGATGCTGCAAAAGGCCATAAAGGTGAGCTAGTTGCCAAGTGCCCAAAATGTGAACATGTGACTGCAGGTGTGTGTATGCGGAATCGGATCCTTTTAGGGGATCTGTCATAAATCAAGGACTACCTCTATGTGACTGCTCTTATTTCCTATCCTGTCTGCTTTGTCTTTAGATTCGTTTTGAGGACTATAATGTCCTCTTTTCTTCTTTCTGGAGGAGCTCTTTCCAGGCTCTTTGCATTTTTATTTAAACCATTTCTTCTTGACAGAATTGGGATTGGATCTGATGAAGTTCACCTCCTTCCTTTGTCTTATTTCCTAGACTGTTACCTTGACTTTCTTTAAGGAGAATACATAGATCGCACTCTTCCTGTTCCACCCCAAACAACAACCCTGTGAGGAAAAACTCATCAGCTTTGCCCTCGGAAGTTGTGGGAGCGTCATCACTTGAGACTTTCAAGAAGAGATTGGACTGCCATTTGTCAGAAATGGTGTAGGGCAGGGGTCTCCAACCTTAGCAACTTTAAGATTTGTGGACTTCAACTCCCAGATTTACGTTGATTTATTGCATTTAATTTATTTTAATTAATTTGTGTTGTAAATTTGACAAGGGTGCTACCTGTGAATTTTGAATCAGACTGTTGGAATCTCTTCTTTCCAGGAAAAAAAACCCCCAGCATTCAGTCATCTGAAGAAAGTTGTAGAACAGAGGTGGAGAACGATTCATGATTTGTGGACTTCAACTCCAGAATTCCTGAGCCGGCCATTGTTCCCCCACCCCTATTGTAGAATATTGGTGGGTAGGGAAGACCTTTACAGCTTTTATTGTCTTATTAATTTTACATTATTTCTATCCTACCTTTGTTATTTTTCATAAAGTCAAGGCAGCAAACATATACAATACTCTTTCCTCCTCCTCCTTTTCTCCACAAAAACAACCCTGTGTGGTGGGTTGGGCTGAGAAAGAGAGAGATTGCCCAAGGTCACCCAGCTGTTTTCATTGCTTAAAGTGGGATTAGAACTCACAGTCTCCCACTTTCTAGCCTGCTGCCTTCTTTACTAGACTGGCTCTCCTTTTCCCATTTAAATTATTCAGTAGTTTTGTAACTTAAAATCCATCAAATACCTGGTACTGGGTGCTACTGAGTGGGTCAGGCTTTGGTGCAAAGCCCTGTTTTATTTGAAGTCAGAGTTGCAGGTTTATTGTGTGTTTTGTGTGTTTATTGTGTGTTTTGTACACAGCAAACCTTCATGGGTCAGAAATTTGAGCACCCCAAGTTAAAAAGATCTCCCAAGCTGTATGGTTATCAGATTTTAGAACCAGAAGAACAAGAAGAAAGCAACGAGAAAGAAAACATCAAGGATTTGGAAAAGAGTAGCAAGCAATTTGATGAAATCCTTGGAATGGCAGACTCAAGAAATGGTACTTTTTGGTGGTTTTTGACTTGTGCTTCATTTATTTATCTGACTTTTATTTGTGTACGCTGCTGCTGCTATCAAAAAGAACCCTTGGCAGGTTGCATCGCAGAATGCAATATAAAACAAGCTCCATAGCAAAAGAAAAAACACAACAACAGTACTAGAGAAGGGAGAAAATAAACGATGGCAGGGAGATTTAAATCAGAGAAAGACTTTGGAAAAACCCGATCTTCAGGAGCTTGTAAAAAAGCAGTGAAAAGACATTCTGTTTGATTGCCTCCCTACTATGTCCAATTGCTTGGGGTGCAGCTGGCTGCAAACGGCAATGCAAAATGTATCTGGATGCCAAACCGTGAGGGGCTTTATAGGTCAAACCAGCACCTTTAATAGGACTTGGAATCCAACTGACAAAATCTGCTTCCAGAGTCAGAGCCTGTAAATGTGCAGCTGCTGTAACCAGTTGCAATTTTGGAATAGTCTTTAAGGACAGCCCCAAGTAGAGCGCACTACAGTAGTCTGGATGCAGGGAATGGGGACATAAGTTATCACGGCCAATTTCTATTGCCTGTCATCCTTTTCCTCTACAGGTGCCTATTATTACTTCAACTCCTTAGGTAAGGAGGCCCAAACATAATTTTTCACTCAATCCTTCATAAGCAAAACAAAACCTCTTATTATAATAAGAGTTTTAGTAGGATATCAGATTTTATAGCATTATAATTTTGTAAGCTGCAACTCCTACTCTGGGGACAGAGAGGCTTGATTTCATATTTCTCTTTCTGGCACTTGGAGAAAGTTGCATCTCCAGGGTTGAAAGTCCAGTGGCATAAGCCTTGAAAATAGTATGGGTTGTGGAATAGTTTACATCTATCTATCTATCTATCTATCTATCTATCTATCTATCTATCTATCTATCTA